ATTGCCTTTATTTGTTATTTTTTATTTTCTTGATAATAATTATTCTGACTGAGGTGAGATGGAATCTCAATATAGTTTTGATTTGCATTCCCCTGATGGTCAAAGACATGGAGCATTTTTCATATAACTATTTGTCTTCTCTACTTATTCATTTGAGTGGTGTCTAATTAGCTAATTTGTTCATTTATTGATTGAATTATTTGTTCTTTTGGTGTTAAAATTATTTGAGTTATTTATATGTTTTGAATGTTAATAATCTGTCAGATAAATAGTTGGTAAAGTTTTTTTTTCCACTCTGTAGCCTGTCTCTTCACTCTGTTGATCATTTCCTTTGCTGTGCAGAAGATTTTTAATTTGATAATTTGTAATTCTTGCTATTATTTCCTGAGCTACTAAAGTCCTAGTCAGGAGTTGTTGTCTATATATATGTCTTGGAGTGTTTCTTTATGTTTTCCCCTCTATTTTCAAAATTTCAGATTTTACATTAAGGTTTTTGATCTATTTTGAATTCATTTTGTATAGGGGAAGAGATAGGCATCTAGTTTTAATTTTCTATTAGTAGATATCCAGTTTTCCCAGCTCTACTTGTTGAAGAGCCTCTTTTTTCTTTAACATATGCTTTTGGTGATTTGTCAAGAATCAGATGGCCGTAGATGCATGAGTTTATTTTTGGCACTCTATTTGATCTCATTAATCTGTGTGATTATTTTTATGCTAATACCATACTGTTTTGTTATGAAGAAAGAAATCAGACACTAGAAGATGGAAAGAACTCCCATGTTCTTGGATTAAGAGACTAAATGACTGTACCACTGAAAGCAATCTATATGTTCAATGCATAGTATAATGTAATGTGTTTTGAAATCAAATATTGTGATATTTCAGAATTGTTCTTTTTGCTCAAGACTGCTTTGGCTCTTCAGGATCTTTCATGTTTCTATATGAATTTTAGGATTTTTTTTCTGGTTCTGTTAAGTATATTTTCTGTGTTTTGATGGGGATTGCATTGACACTTACCTGATATGGCCAATTTAACAATATTGATTCTCCCAGTCCAAGAACATGGGAGGTCTTTCAATCTTCTGGCTTCTTCATTTTTTTCTTCAATGTTTTGTAAATTCCACTGAAGAGACTTTCACATCCTTAGTTATCAAAGTTTAGTATTTTTAGAAAAATATTCTTATTTATGGAATTTTCTTCACTCAATCAAAATAATAAACAGAAAGGAGACAACATACAGATAATTTTCTTATTTTTTTTAAAGAGAGAGAGAGAGAGAGAGAGAGAGAGAGAGAGAGAGAGAGAGAGAGAGAGTTTAATATATATTTTTAGTTCTCGGTGGACATAACATCTTTGTTTGTATGTGGTGTTGAGGATCGAACCCGGGCCGCACGCATGCCAGGTGAGCGCGCTACCGCTTGAGCCACATCCCCAGCCCCAGATAATTTTCACTACTTCTACAACACAGAAAGAAAATCAAAAAAGATACAATAGAAATAAAGATCCAGGAAAATCTCCAATTATCTTCCTTTCCATCAGTTTTAGAGTGTCAGCTTGAAGTGTCAGCTGGAGGTACCAGCTTGGAGTGGGCTGTGTGTCATTGTCATGGGCAGGAGAAACTGTGCTATAATGAAGTCTGATGGAACAGGAAATCAGTTTCATCAAATGAATAGGTGACAAGATCAGGGTGCAGTGCTATCATGCCTGATATCGGTGGGGCTCTTCCTTTATGGGTCTTAGGTAAGGGCATTATGTCTGGTGAGGTTGATAAATGCCTGTGTCTGGTGTTCATGATATGATTTGGGATGGCCACATGTCCAGAAAATCCAATTTAATTTTATATGTTGGCATGTATGAGTTATTGATCAATTTCTACCTTATGGTACCAGGAAGATGGTGGTTGTTTGCCTGTGTAAACAAGGTTTAGAGACATTCTACTTTTGCACTTATACTCAAAATAAAATAGCTTATGGCAAACTATTGCTTTATAAAATGGAGTAACTCCAGGTTAGGAATACCCTGAAAACTCTTTTTCTATACTTCATGGAGTATAGAGCACAGCCTGCTCTCCACACTACTCCTTTATACCCCATTTTATAAGTGAGGGTCATCACAGTGGTGGGGAATGCAGAATCATAAGTGACAAGTAAAGGGTCTTTTCTAAAGAAAAGAAATAACTTCATTGCAAGTCAGGCCAGCAGGGCTTAGAAAAGGAAGCTGAGCTTTGGGGCTTGTTCCTTATCATTTGTTTAGCACACTCAACTCTGGAGCCAGAGGGCATCAAGAGAAGTGGAATGTGATTCCTGAGGCCATTGTCTGTATAGGATATATGTGCTGACTCACTTTGTGTTATGCTGGTAGGAGGAAGACAGGGGAGCCACTGTAAAAGAAAAATTATTATATGACACTTGTTTAAGCACAGTTATGAAGACTTTATTCAGGGTCTTTAAGATAGGTATAGAAACCACAGCAATGGGTATTATGTGAAGGAGACATATTGGGTTAAAATTCAAATATGAAATGGAAATTGATGGCCAAGGAGCAGGATTAGGGCCAATGGACAGATAATTAACAAGAAACATCAAGGATAAGGGGGATCCACCTGAATGGATCTAACAGGATCCTTGATGAACACAGTACAGGGAGATCAGACGGCATCTGGGAGAAGAAAGATAAAGAGAAAACTAAGATATAGAGAATGATCAGATATCAAACATTGGTGTTCTTGATAAACTTAGCATTATTCTTTACTAAAATTAGATTTTATTTTAAAAAGTGTACATGTATGGTTTACAGAAGTTTCAGAACCTGATCCAAGTTTGGTCAAGCAGGGAATCTTTTTGACCATGAAGAATATGTGCTGCCTGCACCTGACTGGGGCTCCTCATCTTCCTGTCCCATCAGCATCCAGGAAGGTAATTTTCCCTATGCCTCATGAGCCTGTCCTCCTTGATCATTTCTAGTAGACAAAAACCCTTTGTATTCCCCATGAATCAATTCACTGTCAGACTTTGAAGCTTAAATCAGTGAAAATGCTACAGGGACAATCTCAGGTATTAAAATAATGAGATTCATTTATTCAACAATTCTAAAAACACACAGAAAACAATCTTAAAAAACAAAACAAAACAAAACACAGAAAGGAAACAGGAGCAGATAATCAAGACTTAACAATTCCTCCAAGCCCTCAAAAAAAAAAAAAGAAATCTCAAAATATACTTTGAACATTCTGCTAAATCACTGACTCCACTCTATGGTTGAAGTTTGTTTTCTTGGGTCTTGTCTCCACTTCACCCTCCTCTTCTCCATGGTTGCTGCCTCCATATCTTGGTGAAATTATCCTCCAACTGGACCTCTAGCTGTGATCCCAAGCATTATCTTCAAAGCCAAATGGTCCATCCACTGAGAAACTCAGCTTCTACTCTGGAGAATTAACCCACACTCTTGAGTAAGGAAGCTTGTCCTCACAAGGTCATTATGAGGTTGTCAAAATAACACTTGACAGTTAAATATGGAGTACATTTGTTCTAACATGAGGAAGCAAGAATTGATTCTTTAAGTGCATTTTTCTATGCATGGGGTCCCATCTCCTGGGATGGTGTTTTTCTACTGTAGGAGGAAGAATCAGGTGATGGCAGAGGCACAGTCATATCTATGGAAGAGAATCTCTGGCCTCCAGAGAGTTACAGACTATAGATCTGGGGATGAGGATAAGGAGATGAGCTCTCCAAGGTCAGCTCCCTGTTACGTCCTGCATCAGAAGTCTTGAACATTATTTCACTGAAACATATCTATCACATTCTTTGCCAGTTTTCTGTCAAAGCAAGATTACTGTGGTTAATCTCAGATTTCTAGTGGAAAGGCTGAGCCTTAGAGAAGCCATTATAGAAGGGACATGTAGGTGAGTTCTAAGCAGAGTGCAAGTGTACCATGCAAAGGACAATGAGCATAAAGTGAAAGCTTTTATGCTCATAAAATTTTGGTGATTGATTCATTTACCTTCTCAATGAAGTGGCTGATGGTTTAACTCTTCAGGAAAACAAAGACCCCAGAGATTTATTTCACAAATGGTTTTATATAAACATGTGTTCATCAGCAAACTGTTTTCTATACAGTATATAAAAAAATGAACTATTTTTTTCAGTAGCAGTCTGCTGGATAGTGCCTTTTAAAAGTAATTTAGGCAATTTAAACAAATTGGAGATGTTGATACGGTGGGGAGAGGTGATGTCAGTGTCCTGCATACTACCACTCTAATTTTGGTTTCCCAGCAGCTTAAAATTTGGTGATTCTATGTAAAGAACTATATCTGGTTTTATGAGAAAAAGAAATCTATACAGATACACAAGAGAACATGTTTCATAGTACTGCATTTTAAATAAGACTCAGGAAGTTCTGCCAATTGCATTTTATTAAAGTCCAACTAAAGCTTGGTCCAAAATGTGACTATTTCAGTAATTAGAAGTCATTGAAGTTTTTTTGTTATGACAAGTTTAGAGAAGTAGAAAGAAGAAGCAAATGGTTAGCAATAGCACCTTTCTTTTATGAATTATTTTAGAGATTTTTTTAAAAATAGGCACTTCAATGACTTGAAATAATTATATCATTTTGTTGTTGTTGTTTAAATAGACTTCTCCCCTATTTATCTTGTAGTTAAATATTTTTTGATTAATTGTAGATTCAGCCATATTTGGTATTAAAAATGCATGTTTTTTTCCAGGCATTTATATCACACCCCAAGATACAAAAAAGGAAGCTGTTGTTCACAGAAGAACCTGACCCATAGCCTCTGACAGATTCTAAGGGCAGGTCCTAGTGCAGTTGTAGATATTTCCACTCTATGCATCTTATGGTGTTGTGTCCTAAATGTGACTGTAAAACCTATTCATCAAAATTAGTTGGGATGGGCACAGTGTCACATGCCTGTAATCCCAGCATCTTGGGAGGCTGAGACAGGAGAATCACAAGTTCAAAGTCAGTCTCAGTAACCTAGAATGTCCCTAAGTAACTTAGTGAGACTCTGTCTCAAAACAGAAAGAAGTGGGGATGTGGGTCAGTGTTTAAGAGCCCCTGGGTTCAATCTCCAATACCTCCCCCAAACTAGTTGGTACCACTGACTCATTTATTGTGTCAAATTCATTGGTATATTTATTCTATTCCTTAAAGGCCTTAAAATAAAATTTTTAATAAATTGCTTTTAAAAATTTTATGTGGAAGGCTGGGGTTGTGGCTCAGTGGTAGAACACTTGCTTAGTGTATGTGAGGCACTGGATTCAATTCTCATGACCGCATATAAATAAATGAATAAAATAAAGGTTCATCAACATCTAAAAATATTTTAAAAATTCATGTGAATGCCAAGATTATTCAAGAGGGAAAGAACATTTTCAACAAATGGTTGTAGTTAAACTGGAAATCCATATGCAAAAGAAAGAAGTTGGACCTCTCCCTTACATTGTATCCAAAAATTAGCTTAAGTAGATAAAATACCTGAATATAAGTGCTGAAACTATAAAAATACTTAGAAGGCAACAGGAGAAAACCTTTTGTGACATGGGATTTGGTAAGAATTTTCAAAATAACATGGAAAAACAGGCAGTAAAAGAAAATGAATTAATAGGATTTTGTCAAAAGTAAAAACTTTTCATCATAAAACAGCTCTATAAACATAATGAAAACACAGTCCACAGAATGGGAGAAAATGTCTACAAATCATATATCTATTGAGAAATTAGTATAAGAAAATGTAAAGAACTACCAAAACAACAACAATAAATGCCAATTAAAAAATGGGTAAGGATTTGACTAGATATTCTTCCTAAAACAACAACAATAAATACCAATTAAATAATGGGCAAGGACTTGACTAGATATTCTTCCAAAGAATATATACCAGTGGCAAATAAGCATGCAAAAATGTTCTACATAGCAATTAGAAAAATAAAAAGTCAGTACTACAAAATCTACAATACAATGAAATATTATCTAAACTTAAAAAGGAAGGAAATTATAACACATGCTATATGAGGAATGAAACTAAATAAAATGTCTAGACAAAGCACAACTATTGTGTGTGATTCCACTCATATGAAGTACCTAGAGAAGGTATCATGGTCTGTTTTGTACTGCTGTAACAGCACCTTAAAACCAGAGACCACAGTTATAGAGGCTGAAAAGTCTAATATCAATCTATCACATGTGGAAATGGCCTTCCTGCTGACTCATAACATGGTAGAGAGTATCACATGATGGGAGGGCAAAAAGGGCAGTCACCAGAGGCAAAAAGATGGCCAAACTTGCCCTCATTAAGAACTACTCCTCTGATAAGAAATCCACTATCTGTTACAGGTTGAACAGATTTTCATCACTTCCATGGGAGATAGAGTTCACACAAGGTCCTCCCAGAAGCTGGGGCAGCCAATTGCAGTGTGGGAGATAGTGGAGGTGGGGGCGGCCTCTAGCAGACTGATGGCTTTAAAGCTTGAGTCCAGGTGTTGCAAAACCAGATGCTTGAAGCTTGGTGACCTTTGAGGATCCAAGAAGTCTTCAGAGAGCACCTGCAGAAGGTTTGGCCACACCAGGTGAGTGCCACTAGCCTCACTGAGGTATGGCAGGAACAAGGACTTAGAAGAGGGGAACTCTGTAAGGACAAGGTCTAGAAGACAAGTGCAACCCCCAGGAACAAGAGCATCTGCACAGTCAGGCTTGAGGTGGGGAAGCAGAATAAGGTGTTTGCAGAATGCAAGGAGGCACTGAGACCACTCAGGGAGCCCCAAGTAGTGCAAGTAATGCAGGTCTGGTCAGGTAGGACAGTGCAGTTCCATCTTGTCACAGCCTGCAGTGATGTAATATACTCTGGCCTCAGTGAGCACGTGCAAGGGCTGAAGCACATGACAGCCCTTGGCCAGGAATTATAGAAGTGAGCCTGGGAGGCCTGACCCGATACCATACCCCACAGCCCTAGGACTTACCCGCCCCTGCCCAGGTATTCACCTGTAGTTCTGGCTTGTGGTTACTTGGCCACTTTTCCAGTCCTTAGTTGGGTAGTGATTATGGGTGTGGAAGGCACACTCTCAAGTGTGGAACTGCTGGAGTGTTGGGTGCTGTCCTTCTCAGTTTCCCGAGGAAGGGCATTACATAAAGCTTTCATTCAGGAAGGGGAGGTTCCAAGATGTGTATCGTCTCCTCTCTATATTAGTCAAAAATAAAATGTGAGATAGCCTGGAAAATTTTGGGGAGCTTTACCTCTACTTGGCCTCAGCTGCCTCATTAATACAGTTTTTCCCAGGTGATCTCATTAATTGATACAAGACCTGGACCAATGGCTTTCTAGTTGTTGACTTAAACTTTTGACTGAATAGCAATCTTCACACCCTTATATGCTTAATTACCATTTCATACACTGACACAATTCCTCAAGCTCTGGGAATGCTGATTTTAATTTTGGTAGTTTGATGGGATCTGGCTTGGTTGCTTTAATCCAACCAAAACTGTCATGGTTTGGATATGAAGTGTCTCCCAAAGATTCATGTGTTAAGGGCTTGGTCCCCAGTACAGCAGTGCTCCTAGGTGGGGTTTTTAAGAGGTGATTAGATCATGAGGGTTCTGACTTTATCAAAGGATTAACCCACCATGGCTGAATGAACTAAGGGGAGGTTGTAAAAACTGAAGGAGAGATAGGACTTTGTTGGAGGAAGTGGGTCACTAGGCGCATGCTCTAGAAGTGTTTAACTTGTCTCTTCCCACACCCTCCTCTCTCCATGGCTACCAAGAGCTGAACAGTTTTCCTTCACCATGCCCTTCTGCTATGATGTTATGCCTCAACTCAGGCTCAGAGCAATAGGGTTTCAATGTAAGCCCAAATAAATTTTTTCTCCTTAGTGAAATTTACTCAGGTATTTGTCACAGTGACAAAAGTTAATTGACAAACAATACTGTGAGCTTCTTTCACAGTCTTTGGATAAATTTTGGGGAGAATAATTGAAATATTTTTATTCTACCATGGCAGCCTTTATTTTTTAGGTGAAAGTAAGATGACTTTTTAGAAGGATAAATATAATCAGACCCTCATTTCTTTTCCCTTTCTAGGTTGTTGAAACATGAATCCCTTTCTCTTCCTGGCCATCCTTTGTTTTGGAATGGCTTCACCTGCTCCAAAACTTGATCAGAGTTTAGAAGCACAGTGGCAAGAGTGGAAGGCAAAGCACAGGAAAACATATGACATGGTTGGTAGCACTAAAACTGTCCAGAGGGACCTGGGAGAGAATGGTGTCTGTTGTTGTAGGAGTATAGCCACAGTAGCTTCTAGAAAATACCTCTTATGAGGCATTCACCTAATGGTACTTATTGTGAGCCCAGTGAGAGAAAACACTCCCTTATTGTGTCTGAGCTTGGAGAAATACTTCCAGAAATGTAGAGTCATGCTTGGTCATGGTTTCTTTTCATATCTGGCAACAAATCCACTGGGTGAGCATAGATTGGGTTGTAAGTATAAAGAAAGAGCATTAATGATATGTACTTCTAGAATGAAGAAGGAAAAAGGAAAGCAGAGTGGGAGAAGAATATGAAAATGATTGAACTGCACAATGGAGAATATAACCAAGGGAAACACAGCTTCATCATGGCAATGAATGTCTTTGGTGACATGGTGAGTGGAGCGGGGATTGGTTAACTCTGTGCTTCCTCTACTCAGTTCTTTAAAGAACATATCTTCCTTTCCAACATTTTATTTACTTTTCCTTGAAGACCAGAGCAGAATTCAGTAATATGGCGAATGGCTTTCAAAACCAGAAACACAAGAAAGGGAAAGTGTTTCAGAAACCTCTCCTTGGTGATATACCCAAATCTGTGGATTGGAGAAAGAAAGGCTATGTGACTGCTGTGAAACATCAGGTATGATACTGTTTAATTCAGACCTTCTTCCTACTGGAAAACAAAGAGTAATTGACATCTTTACTTTGGTAGATTTTGGAGGGACATACAGTTAACATTTTTTTTTCCTTAAGAAGAGAATATTCAAATAGATAAGCTGTTGTCAAAGTCTTGCTATTTGCTTTTTGTATTCTACTTTCAGGGTAATTGTAATTCATGTTGGGCTTTTAGTGCAACTGGTGCCCTTGAAGGACAGATGTTCCAGAAAACTAAAAAACTGGTCCCATTGAGCGTGCAGAACCTTATCGACTGTTCTCTGCCTCAAGGCAATTATGGATGTTATGGTGGCCGAATGGATCATGCCTTCCAGTATATTAAGGACAATGGAGGCCTGGACTCAGAGGCATCCTATCCATATGAAGCACAAGTAAATGGATCATCTTGTGTTGTCATTTCTGCTTGGGTTTTGGAAAATGAAACACTTTCAGAGATAAGATGCCTTTTCAGAATTTACTTGCCATATGTTAGAATCAATCTCTGCAAACTCTTAGTGTTATCACAATACATTGTTAGCCTTTGCATAATTCTCTGATGAGATGGTTAACATATCTTACTTGCATGTAACATGGAACATGTGAATAGAATTCTAATGTGAAAAACTTTTTATGAACAGGTAGACCTAGGGGGTCCCATTAAAAATATATGAGCTAATTTTCAGTTTTACATCAATTGATAGGATTTTACTTCTTCAGATGATTTATAAGTGTTGACTTAGAAATCCTGCTGCATACTGTTAAGGGTTGTGGTTCTAACTCATGTTCCCCAGGAGGTGATGGCAATAATCAACTCTCTTCCCTGTTATCATTAAAAGAACCGGCCCTGCAGGTACAATCCTCAGAACTCCGTTGCTAATGACAAAGGCTTTATTGACATCCCAGAGGATGAGGAGGCCCTTATGAAGGCTGTGGCAACTGTGGGGCCTATTTCAGTTGCTATTGATGCTGAGCATGATTCCTTCAAGTTTTATAAAGAAGGTAAGTATTTTTTATAGAAATTGATGCATAAAAATTATAAAAGCACCATGACACACAAATATGATTGACCCTTTGGCATGCAAAAGTTAATGTAAAATTTTTGGTGCATGAATTTTACATATTCATGTTCATTCTATACGTGACAAATTTGTGTCTGATGTTCCCCTTTGACATTACTTGAAGTATATCCCCATGAATATTAGTGCCTCATAACATTTTTAAATAGCTATGTCATTAAATGTTTAGTTTACTTAAATTGATTTTTCTAATTATTGGGTAATAAAAAATTTTCCAATATTTTTATTTCTGTTATTAAATCTGAAAAGAGTATCTCAATTCAAGTGTTTTTGCATTCTATGCTATTCCCTAAGATTGACATCCTAGCAGCAGAATTATTTTCAAGAGTGACTTTTCATGTCTCTAGATATACCTTTTACTAAGGGATAGAAGCCAATTTGTATTTTTGTCAGTTTTATATGAGATTCTTAGACTTAAAAACAATAGATCCTATTTTTAAGTCTGATCTGGAATTTGTCATTTCAGAGGATTGAGATGGGTGACAGGGTGGGTCTGTGTCAGATTGCTGGAGTCTCTTACCCCAGCATTGATTTTATTCTCCAGGAATTTATTATAATCCACACTGCAGCAACACTTCGCTGTCTCATGCTGTTCTGGTGGTTGGCTATGGCTTTGAAGGAGCAGAATCGGACAACAAAAAATACTGGCTGATCAAGAACAGGTATAAGTTGCCAGTGAGATATAAATATGCAAACATATTTATATTTGAAATTCAAAAGGGTATTCTGGTTTCCACTCAGTATTTGGATACAGGTCCCAGAAATCTTTATTTAATCCGGTTGGACATAGAACTACTAATGTGTGATTATAACATTAAGATGTGATCACAAGCTTCCTGGGGGTATTGAGGTATTATTAACATGGTATGTAACACTGTATTTCTAAATTCTGAATTTTTTATATATCTATAATACATCTTACTGGAAAAAAATATTTTACTCTTGATTTCTCAGTCTTGTGTCATCAGTATTGCAATTATTTTGGAGTCAAGAATAGAGGTTATGTGTAGATTTAGACTCAAAAGTTTATACTGTGTGAACAAGAACATTTGTCTCTCCTGATTCCTTCTGTGAAGTCTGTGGCCTCTGGCACAGTGCTTAAATCTAGTGTCACTGTTAACAAATCCAATGAGCTTTATTCTCTAAGATGGAAAACTTGCTCTTCTTTCAGCTGGGGTGAAAGATGGGGCATGAATGGTTATATGAAGATTGCCAGAAACAAGAACAACCACTGTGGAATTGCCTCAGATGCCAGCTACCCCCTGGTGTGAAGTCATGGGCAGTGATAATAAATGCGTATACTTGTGGCAACATGTATACAAGAGGGATTTCCATTTCAAACCGATCAGCCACTATTATCTTGGATCCAAAATTTGAGTCATTAAAAACTCAGTATTGCTATGAATTCTGTGACACTTTATATTGATAAAATTTTATCACTACTCTACTGCCATAGATAGATTTGTATTATTGAGTCATCTAAATAATTTATCAATTTATTTGATTAATAAATTTTATTTTTTTTTGCAAAGGTTGACCATCTTTCTGTTTTTATTACACTGATTTTTCTGATTTTCTTTTTTGTGTGTGTCTGTAGTCAAAACCTGTGATTAGGGCCTAAATATATAACTGAATGTGCCAATGATACACTAAGATAAGTAGCCTGATGGATTTTCCAGTAACACATATGCAGATCTTATGCCAGTGATTGTGTCTTACCCAGTCCTTGATTGGAACAAAATTTGAGAAATGATCTAAAAGGACAAAAATAATCGCTTGATAAAAAATAACTGTTTTGAAAAGTGAGCTGACATATATATGATTTCACTGCTAGGAAAGGGCCTGAGAGATGATATTCATGTCACCCAAGATTATTGCAATCCAGTTGAATTATGGAACAAATGTCTCAGAGTCAGCATCTTTCAGAACTGCTGGTGATGAAATTTGTCATTTCAGAAATGCTGAGCATGATTCCTTGGAGATTTATATGATTATGTTGCACTTGAGGAAGGATAGGACCCCAGGGGATTGCCCATACCATTTAATCTCTGGGTCCGCAAGGGATAAGGGATAAATTCCCAGGTTTGAAACTGGTCTTTAAGAATGGTAACATGGTCTTGGAAGATAAAAGACAGGTAAAAGGATCAGAAGTGTGGGCCTAAGGTGTCATATAGACAAAGATACATGATATATAAACTATTAAAAAGAAAAAAAATAGAAATAAACTTCTTACAATATTGTGTTAATAGAGAGCACAGAGTTCCATCAACTCTGGTTTTCAAATGTCTCATGTTCCCCTTCAAGAAAATAGAAAGGAGGGATGGTGATGGAAGTATTTAGTGATAGTATCTATCATCCTTGAGAAGGGAATGGGATGCTTAGCCAGGGTCTTAGTCCACAGAGCCTCTAGTAATCTGTGCCCAAGTCCATCTGGATTGAACCAGGTGTCATGATGTCTCCTCTGGTCTTCCTTAATATTTGACAAAATTTCTAACTTTTTGATTTAAATTGGTAGGTGTTACATCAGAGTAAAATTCCTCTGGTTTTATGTAAATGCAGAAACAGAGAGAGGGAAATATTTGTGAGATTCTGAAGCCAAATCCCTTCTGCAGGTTGGAACCCAAGACTTTATGTAGCACCCACTAGACTTTATGTAGCACTCACTCTGTGCCAGTCATCACCACTGTGAAAGAGTCTTTCCTGACCTCAAGGAGCAGGTGCTGTTACAGAAAGTGAGGTGTTCAGGAAGGACTTTGATGAGGAAGGGACTGTAGACATTCGCCAGAGCACCCAGAAAATGAGAAAAGATGAAAGCGTAAGCATCTGAGTAGACTAATGGTCAACACTCCTGAGAACACAGACTGTGGTTAGAGACTCTATGAAGTGATTGTGTTGAGGTGTTGAGAGACAAGGCTGCTACAGAATTGATTTTTAGGATTCTAGGAAATAACTGATAAGGGAAGTGAAAAGGGTATTCTGAATCAGGGTTGGTGGCATGTACCTATAGTCCTGTGACATAAGGATCACTTGAGCACCAAGGAATTCAATTCAGGTTATCCTGGGTAACATAACAAGTCCCTGAAAAAAGAAAGAAAAGAAATGAAAAATTAAAAGAATACAGAGGAGGGCTGGGGATGTGGCTCAAGCGGTAGCGTGCTCGCCTAGCATGCGTGCGGCCCGGGTTCGATCTCAGCACCACATACCAACAAAAATGTTGTGTCCGCCGAGAACTAAAAAATAAATATTAAAAATTCTCTCTCTCTCTCTC